AAAAACAAGAAAATAATCATTGAAAAGGTAGGAAGGAAGGCTTTACATTACTCACATTACACCTCTCCCAACTTAGATGTGTAAAGAGATTTATTCCACTAGGAGGACAGAGATGTAACTAACTATAGGACTTTGCCTTTATCCTCAATACCAGCCCACCACAGGAAACAGTATCCATAGACTTCCTCCTCTCATCCCTAGACATCAAGACACATTGACTTACCCAATCATGGAAATTTCCAAGTTGGAAATCCTTAATTATTAGGGGATGGCCTCAAGGCCCATCCTACAACACTGCCAATCAACTACAATAGCCAAGCATTTTGAATAACCAATGAATAACATAAAAAACCACTCTGAATAACAGGAAGGCTTTAGTAGTTGTGAATTTTAGGCATACTCTAATGATGCATTAACCTTAGGAGCCATGGGCTTTTTTGTTGCACCTCAGTGCTATACTAGCCTAAGTGGCCATGGGATTCCAGCCCAGCATTGTGTCTGGTGGTCTGGAACTTAGGGGTATAACCTACAACAGTTATAGCAGCCAGGGACAACACTAAACAGACTGCCTCAAAAACTCTCCAGACAAGGATATTTCCAGAAAGTCAGATTATAGAGATTTGAAAAGTACCAATTGGAAAGCAGTATGACAGGGGCTGGGAAGGTGGCTCAGTGGTAGAGCGCTTGCCTTGCATACATGAGGCCCTGGGTTCAATTCCTTAGCACCACATAAGTAAAAAGCAAAAAGCTGGAAGTAGCCCTGTGGCTCAAGTGGTAGAGCGCTAGCCTTAAGCTGAAGAGCTAAGGGACAGCGCCCAGGCTCAGAGTTCAGGCCCCACGACCGGACCCCAAAAAAAAAAAAAAGAAAAAAGAAAAGAAAGCAGTATGGCAATTCCTCAAAAGACTCCACATAGAGCTCCCCTATGACCCAGCAATCCCACTTTTGGGCATTTACCCAAATGATCACAAACAAGATCATGCTAAAGCTACCAGCAAAACTCTGTTTATTACAGCATTATTTACCATATCTAAGATGGAACCAACCCAGACGCCCCTCAATAGATGAATGGATCAAGAAAGTGTGTGTGCGCGTGTGTGCGCGCGAGTGCGTGCGTGCGTGCGTGTGTGTGTGTGTGTGTGTGTGATGGAATTCCATGCCTCCATCAGAAAGAATGACATCACCCCATTTGTTAGGAAATGGAAAGACTTGGAAAAAGTTATATTAAGTAAAGTAAGCCAGCCAGTTATTTGCAATAACTAGTATATGTCTGAGACAAGCAGAAAAGGTCAAAAGCTAAGTACATATGACCAGATAAGATGATGTTAAGTGAAATGAACCCCAAGATAGGGACACAAATGGTTTTTTTTTCTTGCTATTGTTTCTAACGTATTTATAATGTACCATGTGATTTTTTTGTTTTTTTGTATGTTCCTCTCCGACGGTATAACCCATTTTCACTGTATTTGATATGGGTGTCCTGCATCTTGTATATACACTTCTCTAATTTGGGGAGGGGAAGAGAAAAAACAAAATGCTTAAATAGGGATACAGGTTGACCCATTGAAACAATGAGATGTACAAGACATTATGTTGAAAAACGAACTTTACAATTTAGGTGGTGGGGGGAATGTAGTTGTGAGGTGGGAGGGAAGGGAAGGTAGAGGAAAAACAAAGGAGGAGGCAACAATGCTTGATAGGAAATGTACTTATTACCTTGTTCATGTAACTGTAACCCCTCTGTACAGTATTTTTACAATAAAAAACTATTTAAAAGTACCAATATGCACATATCAATGTATAACCACAAAGATCAAAACAAATCAAAAAATACCAGCAAATGGACAAAGTATATACAAAAGTGATTGACTTTAAAGACTCAGAGATATATAAGCTGCCTGAGAGAATCTGAAGGTAGTTTAATAAATTTGAAGAAAATATAAAGAAACAATTCATTAGAATGAGCCAAACAGTAAATGATAAGAATTTAAAAAAACAAAAATTGAAGTAATTTGTAAAATGTCAAATTCTGAAGCTGAAAAAAATGGACAAATTGAAAAGCAATAGAATATCAGTGGCAGAACTGATCAAGAAGAAAAAAAATCTGAGTTTATACTTATTATTACTATCATTAGTATTGAAGTACTAGGGTTTGAACTCAGAGTTCTCATACTTGCTAGGCAAGTATTCCACCATTTGATCCTCTCTACCTGCCTAGAATCTATAAATTCAAAGATAGACTATTTGGACAGCATCCAAAGAGTACATGTATGAGCCACTGTTGTTCAAGAATGAGTAAAAAGGATAAAAGAATAGAAAGCTTACATACATTAAAATAATTATTCAAGCCTCAGTGGCTCATCTCTATATTCCTAGATACTTAGGAATCTGAGATCTGAAGAATATGGTTCAAAGCCAGCCTGGGCAAAAATGAGACTGTTATCTCCAATTAAATGCCAGAAGTGGAGGTATTGTTCAAATGGTAGAACTCAGGAAAAGGATGAGACCCTGAGTTCAAGCTCCAGTACTATTACAAAAAGCAACATAGCATAATAGTAATAATAGTAGTAATAATAGTAATAGCAGAAAACTTTCAAAAATCCATAAAGAGATATTATCGGGTATTGTGAGGGCAAATATTATCAATCAAATTCAATCCAGACCATCCCAATGGACACTATAATCAAACTAGCAAAAATCAATGACAATGAGATAACTCTGCAAGCCACATGAGAAAAGACGTAAATTACGTATAAAACAGTTGCATTTACATTTGGCAGCAGACTTCTCAACAGGAATCTTACAGAGTACAATAATATATTCTATATGCTGGAGGGAAAATACTGCCAGTCAAGAATATAGAACCAGAAACAAATATCCTTGAGAAAAAGAGATGCTATCCCAGGCAAACAAAAGTGGAAGAATTCATCACCACCAGATGTCTTTAAGGAAATGTTAAAATAAGGTCTTCCAAATATAGCAAAAGGTCTCTAATAAGTAACGCAAAACATCTGGAAGTATGAAATTCATTAGCAGGGTTAGGAATGTAGCTCAGTAATACAGCCCTTGCCTAGCTCTGAGTTCAATTCAAAGAATCAAAATAATGTTATAATAACAAGATATTTTAATAAACATTACAGTAAACTATAATAGCTACATTAATAATAAAAAACTCATCAATTGACCCTGCATTCCAGACACTTGAGCCTGATCACTGAGCTGACTGGTCACTAGTCACCAGAACGATCATATATAATTAAAGGTTTATTTTCTCCATGCTATATTCTACTCTATTCTCTAAGTTTGTATCTCTGCTTTTATGTAGGTAATAATTTACCTTCTTTGATATTATACTCATTATTCCTTTTCTAGCCTAAGTAAAAAATTTGTACATTTTATTAAAAATTTAAGTTGGAGATGGGTAACTGGGAATCAAATCCATGACTCAGGCATGCCATCTACCTCTGAGCTAGATTCCAGCTCCAATATAAATTTATAAACCTGTAAAGCCATTAATATACTGCTTTTTTGTATTTCATACAAATTGATAAACGCAGAAGATAATTCTGTTGGGCTGGGAAGGTGGCTCAGTAGTAGAGCGCTTGCCTTGCATGCATGAGGCCCTGGGTTCAATTCCTCAGCACCACATAAGCAAAAAGAAAAAAGCCAGAAGTGGCGCTGTGGTTCAAGTGGTAGAACGCTAGCCTTGAGCTGAAGAGCTGAGGGACAGTGCCCAGGCCCAGAGTTCAGGCCCCACGACCAGACCCAAAAAAAAAAAAAAAAAATTATCATCATAGGTGAATATCAGAACAATCATGCTGAATGAAACACAAAAATTGAATATACATTCTTTCATTTCATTTAAACAAAATTAGAGGAAATATGAGCTAATCCAAAGTGACAGAAAACACAATGGATCAATGAACACCTAAAAACAGAGGAGAAAGCACCCAAAAAGGGAAGAACAGACTATAAACAGGAATGAGGAAATCTGGGGAACTGGGAACTGATTAACATGTTCATTATGGTGATAGTTTTATACGTATATACATATTACAAAAACTTGGCAAATTATAGCTTTGAACTGTTTTTCAATTTTAGCTTTAAAAAAAGAAATCTCTGGGCTGGGAATGTGGCTTTAGTGGTAGAGTGCTTGCCTACCATGCATGAAACCCTCGGTTCGATTCCTCAGTACCACATAAACAGAAAAAACAGAAGTGGCCCTGTGGCTCAAGTGGTAGAGCGCTAGCCTTGAGCTGAAGAGCTGAGGGACAGTGCCCAGGCCCAGAGTTCAGGCCCCACGACCAGACCCAAAAAAAAAAAAAAAAAATTATCATCATAGGTGAATATCAGAACAATCATGCTGAATGAAACACAAAAATTGAATATACATTCTTTCATTTCATTTAAACAAAATTAGAGGAAATATGAGCTAATCCAAAGTGACAGAAAACACAATGGATCAATGAACACCTAAAAACAGAGGAGAAAGCACCCAAAAAGGGAAGAACAGACTATAAACAGGAATGAGGAAATCTGGGGAACTGGGAACTGATTAACATGTTCATTATGGTGATAGTTTTATACGTATATACATATTACAAAAACTTGGCAAATTATAGCTTTGAACTGTTTTTCAATTTTAGCTTTAAAAAAAGAAATCTCTGGGCTGGGAATGTGGCTTTAGTGGTAGAGTGCTTGCCTACCATGCATGAAACCCTCGGTTCGATTCCTCAGTACCACATAAACAGAAAAAACAGAAGTGGCACTATGGCTCAAATGGTAGAGTGCTGGACTTGAGCAAAAGAAGCTCAGGGACAGTGCCTAGGCCCTGCGTTCAAGTCTCAGGACTGGCAAGAAAAAATTCCTCTGTACATCATCTTTATAATAAAAAAAATTTTTGAAGAAAGGAAAGAAATCTAGGACAATAAGCTGGGAAGCATTGTTTACTGCCACAACATATTTCTCTCATTAATAACAGAACTATCTGCAAAAGTGACTTTTAACTAGAGGTGAGGGATGTCTGCATACTTGGGGAGCTTCTAGAGAGAACTCTGATAGACTCCTATCAGGGTCTATCAGAGCTTAAAATTTTAGAGCTTAAGATTTTGAGTAGAAACAAAAACCAGGTTCAAGCTGGTTACTGGTGGCTCATGCCTGTAGTCCTACATACTTAAGAGGCTTAGATTTGAGGATTTCAGAAACCAAGGCAGCCACATCTGAGTCTTTTATCGTCAATAACCAGCAAAATGCAAGCATAGCTCAAGTTGGTAGAGCACCACCATGAACAGAAAAAGTAAAGTGAAAGCACAAGCTTTGGAGTTCAATCTGCAATACCAATGCTAAAAATACAAATACATAGGTTCTTTTTTTTTTTTTTGCCAGTCCTGGGGCTTGAACTCAGGACCTGGGCATTGTCCCTGAGCTTTTTTTTGCTCAAGGTTAGTACATACCACTTGAGCTACAGCACCACTTCTGGATTTTTCTGTTTATGTGGTACTGAGGAATTGAACCCAGGGTTTCATGTATGCCAGTCAAACATTCTACCACTAAACCACATTACCAGCCAACACCTAAGTTCTTAAAAACAGTATGGTAACTGGGTACTGGTAGTTCACACCTGTAATCTAGCTACTCACGAAGCTGAAATCTGAAGATCATGGTTTAAAGCCAGCCCAGGCAGGAAAGTCAATGAGACTTTTTTTTTGGGGGGGTGGGGTCCGGTCGTGGGGCATGAACTCTGGGCCTGGGTGCTGTCCCTCAGCTCTTCAGCTCAAGGCTAGCGCTCTACCACTTGAGCCACAGCGCCACTTCCGGCTTTTTTTTTTCATTTTGCTTATGTGGTGCTGAGGAATCGAACCCAGGGCCTCATGCATGCAAGGCAAGCACTCTACCACTGAGCTACCTTCCCAGTCCCGTCAACGAGACTCTTTTTTGTTGTTGTTGTTGTTGTTGTTGTTGTTGTTTTGTTTTGTTTTTTTGTCGGTCGTGGGGCTTGAACTCTGGGCCTGGGGCTGTCCCTCAGTTCTTCAGCTCAAGGCAAGCGCTCTACCACTTGAGCTACAGCGCCACTTCCGGTTTTCTGGTGGTTTGTTGGAGATAGGAGTCTCACGGTCTTTCCTGCCCGGGCTGGCTTTGAACCGTGATCCTCAGATCTCAGCCTCCTGAGTAGCTAGGATTACAGGTGTGAGCCACCAGCGCCTGGCCCGTCAATGAGACTCTTATCGCCAATTAATCACCAGAAAACCAGAAGTGGAGCTGTGTCTCAAAGTGGCAGAGTACTAGCCTTGAGCAAAAAGAGCTCAAGGACAGCTCCCAGGCTCTGAGTTCAAGTCCCATGACCATCGTGGGGGGAGGAGGAGGGGGACATGAAAAGGAGGCAGACAAGTCACATATTTCTAGGCATAATGGTTCATACATGTAATCTCAGCACTTAGGAAGGAGGAATTAAGGACAGCCTGGACAATGTGAAGAAATATTATATCAAAAATAAATAAATAAATGCATATACATATACAAACGTATCTCTCTCTCTCTCTCTATCTATATATATATGTATGTACAGACCTGTGTATATATGTGCATAGGTAGGCATGTGTATATACAGGTTACTCAGTAATGGAGTGTTTGCCTAACATACACAAAGCTGTGTTAGAATCTCAGCAACACAAATAGAAAAGTGGTTGCCAAAGGGATAAAGGGGAGGAGAAAGTGCTATATGTAATTATATAGTTCATATATGTAAATATATAGTCCATATATTATAGTAATACATGCTATATTTTAATTTACTGCTGGTACCATGTAATTTAACCTTCTTTTAGTTTCATATGTTTGCAAAGAAGTATATATAGCAAAAGATAAAGAAAACTTACAAGAATTTTTGTTCTTTCAAATTCAGTAAAAATAGTTCCTTATGAGTTTTGCCCAAGATGGTCTTGAATTTCTGGGATCAAACAGCCTTAGCTTCAAATTAACTGAGCCTAAAGGAGTCCACTATTGAGACCAGCAAAATCTACTTATTTATTTATTATTTATTTTGTGTGTTTCTGTGAATAATTGGAAATAAGACTCTCATACACCTTTGTGCCCAGGCTGGCTTCAAACCGTGATCCTCAGAGCTCAGCCTCCTAAATAGGTAGGAGCCACCCAAAAGTATATAGTTCTAAAACATAGGAAGCCACTCAACTACAGAACAACTTACCTATAGGAGGTGCTTGATATCGATCCACAGTTTTTCTTTGTCGCAAATTATATGGCCTATCATTTTCTTCTCCTTCTGCTTCTTCAACTTCTATATCTCCATCCTCCTCCTGAGATTCTAGTTTTCCACATATGAAAAAGAAAAAGCACTATTTTAATCCACAAGGACCAGTCCTACTCTAGAACTGAGTATTAACATTTAATCCAGTAAAAGTCCTACTTTCTCTAACATTCATAATTTTTCTTCTCAATCTCTAAATTTAAAATCTAAATAATCAGTCATAGAGACTATGGGTAGCAAAACAACCTTCTAATTACAAGATGCCTAAATACAAAAAGAGGCCTTATTTAACAAGCAAATAAGCCCATAGCAAAGCCATTTAATAGTAGATCACTTAAGATATACCAATGGCTAATAGATTATAGTGTATAATGAATGATATATAATGTGCAATTAAGCAGTTTTACAAATAAAGAAAATTAAAATTCAGATGTCAAATGAATTTAGATTATGTAGAATTACACAATACTAACATAAAAAACAAAAATAAAAACCTGGCCAGATGCTGGTAGTTCATGTTTGTAATCCTAGCTACTCAGGATGCTTAGATCTGAGGATTACGGTTCAAAGACTTCCCAGGTAGGAAAGACTCTTATCTTAACCACCAAAACCCCAGAAATGGAGCTGTGGCTCAAGTGGTAGAGTGCTAGCCTTGAGCAAAAAAGCTCATGAACAGTACCCAGGCCCAAAGTCCAAGCCCTATGACTGGCAAAAATTAAAAAAAAATACCCAGGCACTAGTGTATCAAAACCTGTAATCCTAGCTATTCAGGAGGCTGAGATCTGAGAATCAAAGTTCAAAGCCAGCCTGGACAGGAAAGTCTGTAAGACCCTATTCTCCTATTAACCATCAGAAAACCAGAAGTGGCACTATGGCTCAAAATGCTAGAGCTTAGAGACAATGCCCAGACGCCAAGTTCAAGCTCCAGAACTGAAAAAAAAAATCACCTGCTCAGTAATATTATATATTACATACATTATATGCATGTATTATATATATAAAGTATACATTTTTAGTCTTCCATCTGAACTTTATAGTATTTACTTCAAATATATTTTACAAACCTTCTTCTTCACCCTCAGTAGAAACCTCATGATGATTCTGTATCCCATAACTATTTCTTCTTAGTGACTTTCTTCTCCTTTTTACTCTTGAATACATATCCATGTTTTCCTTTTAAAACAAAGAAAACTTGTCAAATATTAACATGGCATTTATTTTGTGCCATATGCAATTTTCACTAAGCAACATGTACTCAATAAAATTTATTGACTACCTATTTGAAAGGCACATATTCCTGAAAATGGAGCTTTCTACTCAATAAATGTAAAGAATAAAAGAAGAGGCTGGGAAGGTAGCTCAGTGGTAGAGTGCTTGCCTTGCATGTATGAGGCCCTGGGTTCAATTCCTCAGCACCACATAAACAGAAAAGGCCAGAAGTGGCGCTATGGCTCAAGAGGTAGAACTCTAGCCTTGAGTTGAAGAGCTAAGGGACAGTGCCCAGGCCCAGAATTCAGGCCCCACAACCAACCAAAAAATAATAATAATAAAACTCATAAAATATTAAAAACATATATCATCAATATATTTTCTTTGAAACAAAGTATAGCCTACTAGGAAGGAATAAAATAAGTCAGGTTATTGTCAAATAAAATAAAACATGTCAGGCACTGGTGGTTCATGCCTGTAATCATAGCCACTAAGAAGGCAGAGATCCAGAGGATTATGTTTCAAGGCTAGCCCTGGCAAAAAAGTCCAGAAGACTCCAACTCCAAATTAACTAACAAAAAGCCAGGCTGAAAATATGTCTCAAGTGGTACTAATCAACAAAGCTAGCAGAGCACAAGCCATAATAAACTAAAGTACAAAATACCCTAGAATTCTAAGAATGGAAGACTGGCACACATACAAAGATTCAAATCAAAAGAATTACAGAGGAACTGGGAATGTGGCTTGGTGGTAGAGTGCTTGCCTAGCAAACATGAAGCCTTGGGTTCAATTCCTCAGTACCACATAAACAAAAAAACAGAAGTGGTGCTGTGGCTCAAGTGTTACAATGCTAGCTTTGAGTAAAAGCAGCTCAGGGACAGTGCCTAGGCCCTGAGTTCAAGCCCCAGGACTCAGGGGAGGGGGAGAGTGACAGAATTGTAAAGATTTTTAATTTTTTTGGGGGGGTCTGGTCGTGGGGCCTGAACTCTGGGCCTGGGCACTGTCCCTCAGCTCTTCAGCTCAAGGCTAGCGCTCTACCACTTGAGCCACACCGACAATTCTGGCTTTTTTTTTCATTTATGTGGTG